GCGAACATCGCAGAATTGTCGCCTTATATTACGCGGACCTTTGCAGAATCATCTTCTTTGCAAATTTAATGGGACTGCTCCATTTTTTCCTACAATTTTTTCGCTATCCATCACAAGGCATCGCAAAACTTTTCCACATCGCTGACCATCGCAGATTCCTAAATTTCAGGTGGGATTGAGGCTTTGCATACCCTAATAGTTGAACAACGAAATGATTGACTTCATTTGACTGTGATTATCGTCAATGGAACTTACACGTGGGCTAAATGTGGTTACCCCTCTGTTATAAATAGCAATAATCAAATGAAACAGAAAAAGATAATCCTAGCAAGATTATAGGTTACCAATATCGTTATTTTTTTTTTTCAGATCAGTAAAGATAATGATATATATTCCACTGGTTGTAGAACTGGAACTTGTGAATTAGAAATTATAACAAGTAGTACTGGAACAGAAAAGATCACAAATTGTTGTGATACAGTACATTGTAATAATGATGTTAAATTATTATCTAATATGGCTTCTACATTCAGCAGTGTCTTCGCTCTTTTGACTGTCTCCGTGTTTCACACATTCCGATATTATGTTTTGTAAAAATGTTTCATAATTCTACAGTTTTATTCAAAAGAAGCGTGGTTCATTTAAAATTATTACATTAGTTTAGTTTGTTTATAATAATAAGAAGTTGAAATCAACTGGTACAAAGTTGAACTGCAGCATTTCTTCCATTAAAATCCTATCGCATTACTGTTTGAAGCATATTTATTATTTAATGTCTCTATGCGTCGCACACTTCGAATCTAAGTAATTATAAAGTTTCGATTAATTCAAGTAATTCAGATAATGGGGTTGGATTATAGAAAATCAAATATATAAACCGATTTTTTGCGAGCCAATGTACCCTTATCGTATTTTTTAAGTTTTAAAATCTAGTAAAGTTTGCTACAAGCAAATATATGTGTTGCTTTAATAAGGCAAATGCCACATACTGCACATAGTTAATCTTGTATATATGCATGTTATGTAGTATATGTGTTTTAATATGATTGTTTATTCTCTTCGAACATTAGAACGTCATTTAGTGGTGCCTTAAAGCCAAGCCCCTGAAGCAGATTGTTATTTGAATTTGTAATGTCATACATATACGAAAGCGGACGGGACACGAGAAAAATAAAAATATAACTCGAGGCCACGACTTAGCATCTCGTGGCCACGACTAAGCAATGATTTACCATGTCGTGGCCACGAGATAGCTAAGTCGTGGCCACGGGTTGCTATTTCCCATATTGTATAAATGTCTTATAAATCTTACTTGCTGCGAAAAGGTAGAGCTCATAGGTTATAACTACAGGAATGGACTTACGATAGAATGACATTTTACGATACCATATTCATTATCATTCTGGTTCATATCCAAAGAGTCATTTTGAGTGTAGGTCGTGGCCACGAGATTCTAAGTAAATAAATGTGGATAAAAATAAATATTTGTATTGTTCTTCATTATAAATATTAATTAAATTAATATAATCATTATTAATATTAAACTAATGCCTTTACAAAATATGTGATTAAATGTAAGAGCCCAAGATCTAAAGAACATTCATACAACATTTCGACTGGAATTGTCAATTTGGCATTTTGGGGATACACGGGGTAGCTTTCTCTTTTAATATATACATGTTCATAAAATTTATCACAAGATGCCTGAATAAATTATCTATCTATATACGTTCAATCTTCACTGTTAAATTATCTCTCTCTCCTGCTGCCACTAGAATATTTAATCCGCAAGATGAAGAAATCTACAAATGTTGTGAAATCGTGACCAAAACACACTTTATCGATAACATTTACCTATGGTTAGCCAAATGCAGTTGTACTTGAACTCATATAAGAAATAGTGATAACCCTTTCCAAACTAAACCAGGAAAAGTTAAATAGTGACATCACATTTACATACTTCGACTCAAATGTGATGTTAAAATATTTAAATTGGCTATCACAGTCATAGTCTTGGAATGTACTTATTTGACGTAAACCTACATTTACAGTCCATACAAAGAAGAAAGAATAATATTGTTCATTCAGTTAATATGAATTTAATAACAATTTGGTTTTTCTATCAACTGACTGAATCATGTATTGTAAAGAACAGACCATTGTTCAAGACCAATTGAATCCAAATACTATCTCCCTAAAAGTACATCTAATAAAACTAAATCGTTAATTAACATTGACTCACTCTTACTTACTTGATTTAAAAAGTTTGATTTGTGAACAGAGGTTCGAAATTCAAAATGATTACTTGTAAACTTCTTTCGGGTAAGACTTTTTTCTGTTCTTTTTGGGTACATAATACTAGGTAATTTGAAAATTAAATTGCTCGCAGAAAACTATGTACGCCATTGAGTTTGGTGCACATATCTTACAAAACAAAATTGAAAGGCAACCAGAACATTTTGTTTTTCACTTATAATTATATCGATTTATATTGAACAAAAACAATCTCTGAGCTATGCAATGTTCTTTTCGCATTAAGGAATATCTTTTCATGAAAATTGGCCCTGAAAGATCGTTTCTGACAAATCTTTTCACCTTATACGCAGTAATACAATTGACGCCCCCTTTATAAGGCGCTACATAATTAATCATGTGAATTTTAACTCTATGATCAGTAGATGCATGGTTGAGGTTAATCTGTTAAAGTTGGGGACGCAGTCGTGGCAAAACATGAAACCTAACAAGACTTCTGCTCAGAAGTTTAAAAAAATTCTCAAATATTGATATGATTCTATAAAGAGTATTTTCACAATATATTACAGGTATATGTACTATCATAGTTGTAACTACATTGGTCAAATCGGGTGATGATTTGGGGAGTGATGAAGAAGTTAGTATAGGGGAAACTGATAAATTCTTTGCCAAAGCTGCTCCAAAGATAGAGCCCAGTATAATTAAGAAAACGGCAATAGATTCGTTTTCTACTGCTCAGTTATTTGACTTATGGACGCTGAATAAGAAGTTTCGCTCCCTTATTTCTGAAACAGTGGAATTATTCTTCAAGTCGAATACAAAAGAAAGTGACATTAAGCATACCGAATCTGAACTGAAACCTAGCAGTCCTTCAACAGATGAAATATCAGAAGATTTAAGGATGCAACTGATCAATTCAACACCTGGGCGATACAAATATTTATCCTCCAAATCCTTAGAAAACAGGGACACAAAAACAAACCCTACAATTGATCAGAAAAGTACTCGTGGATCACCATCTATCCCAGTAACAAGTTATCAATCCAAAGATGTAAATGGAACTACATCGGAGCCCTCTTCAAATTTCATGACAAAGTCTAATTCCTCTCTAATTGCACATTCGGCTCAGAATACAATTGATAATAAAATTGAATCAAGCTCTACGGCAGGCAACACAACTCCCCGTGTGTCTGTAACAAATTCCACAAGCCCTGATCTATCTACGGTTGTTCAAAGCAATAGCTCGAAAAGACGTGTCAATAATTCGACTGTTCAAGTCACTAGGTCTACTGTCAAAGGAACTGCTTCTATCTCTTCTGACTCTGCTATCACCCCACTCTTTATAACTCGCCTCACATCAAATCCTAAAACCACTACAATTGCCCATGTCGCTCAAGACACAGCTGTTAATGAAACCGTCCCAAGCTCAACAACAGACTCCACTAGTACCCTAATCTCTAAAACGAATCCCAAAACAAAATTTAATCCAAATGGCCAAGGCACTCGAACTGGCTCTTTCTCTTATGGTCTTCGGTCTACTGTCAATGGAACTGCTTCTAACTCTACATTGGATCACACTATCACCCAACACTTTACAAACCGTCTCACACCTAATCCTAGTCCTTCTACAACTGCCAATTCCACACAGAACACAACTACAATTGTCAATAGGTCTGCGTCTAGCTCTGCAACACGCTCCACCATTACCCCACTTTCTACGAAGCATTTCACATCAAATCCCAGCCCCTCTACAACTGGCCATGCCACTCAGTACAGAACTATCAGTAGAACTGATACTAGCTCTACAACACGACTCACCATTACCCCACAGTTTACAAAGCATTCCACATCAAATCTTAGCTCCTCTACAACTATCACTGGAACAGTCTCGAGCTCTACCATTACCCCACTTTCTACAAAGCATTCCATATCAAGAGCCCCAAGTTCAACAACAGGCTCCACTGTGACCCCCATTTCTAAAACGAAAAATACAACAACACCTACTCCAAGTGTTGAAAGCACTCTAACTGACTCTTTCTCTTCTGGTCCTATCATTACCCTACTTTCAAGAACACATTTATCAACTCCTAGTCTATTCACGATGGTCACTCGGCCCACGGATGTTAACAGAACTGAAGTTAGACCAGGTTCCACAACAGCAAACACTATAACAAAATCCTTTACCTGTAAATCTGATCAAGTCACTAAGCCCAAAACTGTCCATAGAGCTGGCCCAAGCTTTGCCAAAAAATCAATTACTACCCCACTCTTAATAACACACCGCCAAACAAAAGTAACTTCAAAGGGATCTTTATCCGGTTCCAAAGACAGCCACAGCACAACTATGGATACTCCTGGTTCTGGCAATTCTAGAAAGAAGAAAAGGGAAGGGGTTAGTATCTAAGGAAATTCTGCTCTGCTTTTTAATATCATAATTTAATTGATAGTCAAATTAGTACGTCTTTATATTAATTTCAACAAAATTAATTTTAACAAAATAATTGCCAATTGATTCGAATAAAATTTTAATTCAAACAGATAAATGTATTGATAACTGTTGTATTTTAGACTGAATGTAATATACATGCTTGTTATGGAAAGGAAGAATGTGAACAAGAAGTAGAAGCATATAAGGAATGTATATCTGTAAAACCCGTTGTAAACCAGACCAGTAGTGTTCAAATCCACATATTCATGTTCATGATACAACTTTTATGTTCGCTTGTACATATTTACTAAATATTATTTAGTATGGAATATCATTGGAAGTCAATATTTCGTATCATTGTTGAAAATTATATAAATATTTCTAAATTAAAATTTATTTATTATTGATTTAACTATAGTATATATTGAATAAATTAACAGTGTATTGCACAATAAAGTTATTATTTGCTTAGTTTCAAAAAGAGTCGACATCAGATGTTCCGGAAGATGATTCGTTATTGAGAAATATCTACCAGAGATGTATCCAGAGAATGTTTCATATAAGGTGCAATTTTAATCAATTCGTTGCTAAGGTGGTAGGGGCCATAGTACTTGTAAACCAATTAAATTATTTGCTCTACAAGTAAGTGTTAACAAGATACTAACTTTTATTATAATAATTATAACTTGAAGTATAAGTGAAGGTGTTTAAAGCCCACTTGATATAAACTACTAGATAATTACTATACACTGTAAATATTTTCTGTAAAATTTCCTTTCAATAAACTGTGGCAATCCTTTCTATCCAGCCTCTCTATGTCCAATATTGGATTTTGTTACCCTGGTTTATCGCTGCAAAGCAGATCGGAAGGCCTGTCATGTCACATTTCGAGATCATGAGAAAATTAGTTCTATGCTATGCACGTTGCATGTTCTCTACTACTATGAAGTAATCGTAAGCCGGAGCTGAACCCCTTCACTTTCGCACAAAAAAAACATAAAACATTTATTATTTCATTATTACATTATTGCTGTATACTGTTATTTGGTGGCCTTGTGTAGTAAAATATTTAACTGAACAAATTAACAGTGAAAATGCCAATGGTAAAAGTGTTTTATTACAATAACTGTCAAATCAAGTAATAAAAATCACAAATTGTGTAAGAGAAACCAAGAAGAATGGTTTATCGACGACAGAGTAGGTAAAACGTAAGTTAAATATTACATTTTATTTTACTGTTTCGCCACTTTTAATATACCAATCCAAAGTTTTTTTTTAGGTTTTTTTAAAATATATATAACCTTTATGAACGCTATTTATAATATTCCAAATGCATAATGAATTTTAAATATTAGTTTACCGTTTTACGACTTCCATTTTTTTAACTTGATAAATCGTTACAGAATAAAAGAAGAACTGGTCATTAAACATGATTTTAACAATACTGATTGTTTCCTGCATGTCATATCTTGCAGGTATGTGTTCATGGATTAAATATATTCCTATCAAATATAATATATGATTGATCCATTTAATTCAAGAAATATATAGATTTATTTTTATTTAGGTTAAATGTGATCAAAAGGTTATATTGTTTTGGATAATCATAATAATTCTAAGTGCTAGAGTTTTTTTTTCAGAAATCCATGCTGTTTCAACCACTGCGTCCACTCTGACACCCGATGTCACCAATTTCATCTCCGAATCCACCTATTTTGAAACAATAACAACGCAGGTTCATAACACATATTCAACCACAACAGGAGAAAGACCAAACCTGTCCACAGCAGGAGAAACAACAGTGCCGCCCACAGCAGGAGAAACAACAGACATGCCCACAGCGGGAGAAACAACAGAGCCGCCCACAGCAGGAGAGACAACAGACCTGCCCACAGCAGGAGAAACAACAAAGCTGCCCACATCAGTTGAAACAACCGACCTGTCCACAGCAAGAGAAACAACAGAGCTGCCCACATCATTTGAAACCATCAACCTGTCCACAGCAAGAGAATCAACAGAGCTCCCCACATCAGTAGAAATAACCGACCTGTCCACAGCAAGAGAACCAACAGACCTGCCCACAGTAGGAGAAACATCAGACCAGTCCACAGTAAGAGAAACAACAGACTTGCCCACAACAACAGACCTGTCCACATCAGTAGAAACAGCAGATCTATCTACAGCAGGAGGAACAACAGAACTGTCCACAGCAGTAGAAACAACAGAGCTGTCCACAGCAGAAGAAACAATAAAGTTGTCCACAGCAGGAGAAACAACAGAACTGTCTACAGCAGCTGAAACAACAGAACATTCTACACAGCACGTTACGCTGTCAACAATGACAACGGAATCAACAACACAACATTATTCAACTCCTGGGCAGTCTATTACAACATCAACGTCTGAAAAACCCTCATCAGAATCTACCACAGGGCAGTCCACAGTCGATGTAGTGACAGAACAGTCTACTGGAGTATCAACAACAGATTATTTTACAACAGCTTCATCAGAACAGTCTACAGAAGCATCAACATCAGAACCTAAAACAACAACAGATCAATCCACGGTAGCAATAACGGAGCAGCCGACAGGAGAATCAACAACAGATCTTCCTACTGCACCAACACAGTCTACAGAAGTGTCAACAGAGCAGTCTACAACAGTAATGATAACCACAATAGAAACATCAGAATCAACAAAACAACACCTTACAACTGGTTTCCTTTCCACAATGACGACAGTAGAGGACATAATAACGACAACAAACCTATACCCAACAACACTTATAACAGAGCAACCTACAACAGCAACATCTGACCCATCAACACAAGATTTGTGGACATCAGCAGCTTCAGATACCACTGTAATAGGAGAGCCTACAACAGTACCATTGACACATCCAGCAGGAACTTCAGAGCAGACTACATCCATGGTGACAACATCAACTGATTATTCTACCCATGAGGAGTCTACAACAGAACTAGTGACACATTCAGCAGAAATTTCAGAGCAGACTACATCGACGGTGACAACATCAACAGATTATTCTTCCCATGGGGAGTCTACAACAGAACCAGTGACACAATCAGCAGAAACTTCAGAGCAGACTACATCGACGGTGACAACATCAACAGATTATTCTTCCCATGGGGAGTCTACAACAGAACTAGTGACACAATCAGCAGAAACTTCAGAGCAGACTACATCGACGGTGACAACATCAACAGATTATTCTTCCCATGGGGAGTCTACAACAGAACCAGTGACACATTCAGCAGAAACTTCAGAGCAGACTGCATCGACGGTGACAACATCAACAGATTATTCTTCCCATGGGGAGTCTACAACAGAACCAGTGACACATTCAGCAGAAACTTCAGAGCAGACTGCATCGACGGTGACAACATCAACAGATTATTCTACCCATGAGGAGTCTACAACAGAACCAGTGACACATTCAGCAGAAACTTCAGAGCAGACTGCATCGACGGTGACAACATCAACAGATTATTCTACCCATGAGGAGTCTACAACAGAACCAGTGACAAAAGCATCATCAACAGTAGAAACAACAGAGACAGCCACGATGTTTTCATCCACAGTTCAGAACACACCAGGACAGACTGCACAGCAATCTACTTTTACTGCAGAGCGGTCTACAACAGAGCAATCTACAACCATAGACAAGGGTACGACAACAGAACTACCCAACACCCCATCAACCCCAGAACAGTCTACAACCGAAGCATCAGCAACAGAGTCAACAAAATCGACAATGAAGTCGTCTACAGTGGATCTGACAACACTTAAGTCTACAGCAATCACAGAACAATCGACCAAAGAGAAGACAACAACAACAAAACAAACTACAACAACGGTAGACTTGGAACAGTCTTCAACCTTATCAACCATAGAGCAATGGACAACAACTATTCCAACCTTAGAGCAGTCTACAACAACGGATAAGTCCACAACCACATCACTTATAGAACAGTTGACGACAGAAACATCTAGTACAGACTCACCAACAACAGCGACAATAGAGCAAACTTCATTAGAAATATCCCAAGAGCCTATTACTTTTTCGACCACGGAGAAGTTTACATCTGAACAATCACCAGTACAATCGACAACAGCGGCTACCACAGGCCAGTCTGCGACGTCTTCGGTTAATTGGACTACGAAGCCGATGGTTACAAACACCACGGATAGCAATGGTACTACTGATATAGAAACATCCAGAAATACTGATTTCACATCTTCAACATCAGTATCAGTTGAGATGGTAAGTTCTGTCTACCTTCACCTTGTATCCTACTGTGCTTATTTGATTACAATACTGATATTAAATACATCATTAAGTATTGGCTTTTTTCACTAAGGAACGGTTTTTCATTATATTTAAACATAGCCCACAAATTGTTTTTTTTTTCTTGAATGCCGTTGTTAATAATCTAATTCATGCTGACTTTGTTTCACATGGCAGACCAGGTGTTACTCTATAAACTGCAAAGGGACAAGGTGTTTAAATGATGCTATACTGGGGGAGTCTGTTGAAACATGTTTCACCTCTACAAACTGCTACGTAAGTATTTGAATCGTCATCTATGAACGAAGGTACATGTATTTATGCTATACATATGTATATAGACTATATGTGTCTTCAAGGCGGCCACTGCAGCAGAGCTTTTCCCTCTTGGCAAAAATATGAATTTGTCAAACCATCGGATGATATTAAAACGGTGCTGGCCACTAAGAATGATTACAACCGGCAATTGTATTGTTCCTAATGTCTTCTTGGAGTTATTTCCCTGGTTGATTACATCCGATCGTCTTGAGGTTCATTAGCTTATACTTTTATTAATCCATGAGTATATTATGAGTATATCGCATTATGATTTCCTATAATGCCTGCAGAAACAGAATAATGTAATACCGGCACTTTTCTTTAGCATGTGTGCGCAAGGTTCCATTACAAAGAATTTATCCCCCGCCCCTCTCATTAGGCTGCGTTGTATATTTCGCCCAAAGCTACCACAACCCAAAAATATAGTTGATTTTTAGTAACATTTAATGTTTAATGTAAGAAATTTTCTTTTATATTTAGGTAAGACATAGTACAGATCGTACCGGCAGTGCATTTCGTACTGATGTTGGATGTGTAAATAACGAAGAGGAATGTGAAAATGTTACGGAAGAAAGAAACTCTATATTGTTTGTACAATATTGTTGTTTTAGTGATTTATGTAATGAACAATATTCTACAGCAAACTCACCTAGACTATCACTGGTTAGTCTCCTACTTTTTATTGTCTGTTATACATTTCAAACGTTTATTTAATAGTGCCTTTCAGTTAATAAATTTTGTATGATAGACTTGATTGTAGTATATCTATACGCCCACGGAAGCAGTTCAGTTTTAACCAAGGCTGATGAAATACCCCCATTTATCAAGATATCAAACGGATTTTCAATCAAGAAGAAGAACTCTTGATTGGAATATTGTCAATAATCGCCTTCGACTAGTCCAAGATCAGATGAATTCGTATAAGCATACCATGTTTCATACAAAACTGCAACTCTCGCATCTATCGTGCTAACAAGCTTCTTTTGAAGAGTTTTAACAAAGATTATTTACAAGTATACTGCATGTGACTCAACTGACTATCCATGATCTGACAAGATTGTTATGTATTCTCTTGTTCTGGGTCAACTATTGAAATGCTATGTCAAACATTTTTTTTTACTGTACTGTGATATTCAATATTGAACATTGACTTACACATTAATTTTCATGCTAATAGTCCGATTTATATGCAATTTGTATATGTCAAGGGCAATAACTTTTTAATTTTTTATCAAAATGTCGTGAAAATAGACTCGATCAAGATCTCACAATTCTGCAAATACTTAACAAGTTTTATCAAAATTCAGCTTAAACTCTAGATTCAATCTCACTTACTCTAAGAGTTTTGCTGGCGGATGAACGGTGGTGACGAAAAAATATGCTAAAATTTTCATGTAAGCGTATAAAAAAAGGCATGCGATAAACAATAACTTAATGTCCCAATTCCGAGAAAAACCTATATAACGAGTGAGCTCCCTTCAGCTATGGTGATGTTCCACATCTCTCACTATATAACAAACGACACTTTTCTTTTCAGGATTTTCAAAAAGTATTAAAGCTACGTCATAATATTAAGACTTCATAATATATAAATGGTTATTAGATATTTTTCTTTTTAGGTTGAACCATTTGGAAATACCAGCCGTTTTAAAATTCCTTGTCAAAAAACATAACTTATATAGTCAAGATGCATTGGCTGCCATCTTCAACGAGTGGAATTACAATGAGTCAATGTACATCTGAACACCCAAGAAAGCAAGACATATTTCCCAGATTAAATGATATGTATTAGTAAATCTCATTGTTATAAAGCGATTAGAGTATTGACTTCAACATCAACAAATACTTTAATTTCTCCATACCATTTGTTGAGGTTATGTAACTAAATATTCAGGAATACTCAACTTCTTAATATAGTTTGTTCAATAGAGTATTGGCTGAGGGGCATTTCGTAAGCTAAAAAATCAATGAATATCAGTAAATTATCAAAAAATAGAATTGGATTGTTGTTTGATGTAAAATAAATGTTGCTAATTATTTCATTTTAGAAAAGAATTTATAGTAATTTGTGCTTAACAATATTGATTTTGTTTATCTTTTAAACAATAATTCAAATTGAGACATTTTTTTGGGATTGAATGCATTTTAATGAGTCCTTCTACAATCGATCTCAGTATTGAAGGAATAGGGTGCTGTAAAAGTCGCTTTATAGATGACAATAGAAGGGAATATTTTCAAAAGATGGTTCTCGCTGGATGACTGTTAAATCGTGTCCTATGATTTATTAATTTAAACTTCTTATTTTCACATTTTGACTAAGAACTGACTTTGAAACAAACAGCTCAATAAATCTGCACGAAATAGAAAAAGTATTCTGTTATGCAAATCTCGATATCGTAATCAGAATGGCAAAACTAAAAACGTCTGATTATACATTTCTATTTCCCTCATTTATATAAGTCTGATTTAGTAATATTGAAACAGAACCTGAATCATGGTGTTACCCAGAGTTTCACACTGAGTGACAAAATGTTCATGTTCTGTTTGATGCATAGGGCAATATTTTAAATAGTGGAAACATTTTTCATTGTCTGGTATATTCAGATGCTTACAACAATGCTTTCGATTTTCATTTTGTCTTGTCATTTTCTTTTTACGAAATTTCTTCAGAGGCTTTGAAGCGACAGAGTTGGTAAACCTTTTCTATTCCAGACCCTGCGTTTAACGTTGGAGTTGTAAGCTCCCATATTTTCACAGTGTCCACAGTTTTACTCCATTAATAACCAAGACATATTGATTTCACTGTATCTAGCTTATAACTTTCATTAAGAAAAATGTTGTCCCTTTAGATTACTTGTGCTTATCTGATGTCTGATTCAACAAACCGAGGCATAAAGTAGTTCAAATGCTAGGCTTTAATCCCTTAGTACAGACTGGCTTTGATCTGGAGCAACTACACATACAGCGAAAATAGAAAATTTATATCTAGTTAACAAAAACCTTGATTATTACGATAATTTAAAGCCCTGGTTATTTTCTTAAAGAGCCTATCAACATCATGGATATTGTTTTCCACACTGTAAAATATTGATGAAGTCAAATGGTTTGCCGACATATCAGAAGCCAGAAAGTCTACAAGAAGCAGTGTTTTTCATCACATAAGTCGGTCTTTTATTTTCTCATGTCTTCGTGACATTTAATACTTATGTTTCTATATGTTGTTTTTTTACTGAGACAAGCCGTGTTAGAAAAAATGAAGAACATTCAGGAGCAGTTCTTTTTTTATTTTGTTCCAACGCAGGTGGTAAGCCACGCGAATGTTATTCTTTAATCACTAAGAAATAGTTTCTTCGTGTTAACTAACTTTCATGTTCCAATTAAGTTTGGTAACTGAGTGTTATATTTCTTATCTTTGCTTTTGATACCTGCCATGCAAATTGCTGAAGACGGTATGTGTTTCCTGGCAAAATGTCATCCTTCCTTTGGTTCCTTTCTGTTTTGTCGTCATTGTTCATTTATTGAGTATACAATGAAACAGTAAAACGTGGGTACAAAACAAAGTTAATCATTATCCCTAAACAATACAAATCGTTGCACAATTCAGTGAAATCCTTAGCAACCAATCTATTTATGAGAGATTTGTTTTATTTAAGGTTAGCATATTTCTTTACTTTACGGATTTATTTTTAACATCATTGCTTCGAGTTATTTTACTTTCATTCGTGGTTCTATGTATTGCTGACGGGAGTCGAGTTTATAACAGATGGGACTCGATTAATTGTGACATGTTTCAGCTTGGAATATTTTTTAATCGTATTTGTACCATATATAACGCTTACTCGCACAGTGATACCTGTAGAGTTATAGTATTAATTTATATTACGGGGTAAGCAAACTCTTTAACAAATTACAAGTATTGTTGAAAACCTCAATATACACATACTATAAAAAGACAATATTTAGTTAGATTCTTTATAGAGCGTTTTACGTCAAGGGCAATGACTAAAAAACCTTTCATCGAAAAATTGTTAAATTTTCACTTAAATCAGATAAAAACTATATAGTTTTTAATGTAGACCGACGGACAGCCTTGACGGAAATATACGGCGTAAAAATACTTTCGTGTCATGTTAACCAAATTTCAAACAATAATTATAGAGTCCCTTTAGCTGAAAAATCTCCAAGTTTGCAAAATCACCCACAGTAACCGTTTTCTTTGGTGCAAAATACAGGGGGCATAGCGTGACCGTTTTGACTAGGGGGTGGGGGGTCCTTTAAAACGCTCCTTTCATGTCACTGGGAATTGTTGCACACAACTTGTCAACTTGTTGCTTAGTACAACTGATGCGTTTTTACCGACAATTACTTTTAATGTAGACGGATAGTTTACAGATAACATTATAACCTAGACAAGGTCTTCACTCTTTCGTTTTCACAAGTCAGTTTTACCAACGGCTCCAGCCATTAACGTCTCGATTCCGCCAGACCATACATTTATTACTAGCCTACTGTCAATATGAATTAGGGGGTATTACTGGATCTTCCAGATACTGATGTAGAGTCAATTGAAATATATATTCAAGAGTTTTTATTTGTAACTCACAAGGCAGAAACAGATGCTTTCAGAATAAAAAAATAATCCGTGTCCATAGGAATTAGTGTCACTTATTGATAAAATTGTCCACTGAAAATGTAGAAGAGCTAATATACCGTCTCTTAGCTCACAAGAATGTACTCTAGGCTGGTGAGTATTGGCTGAAGTACAATCAATATCACCCTTGATTCCCTCTTTTTGCTATTATATGATAAAATAATTGATGAAAAGTAATGTTAATGAACAACTCTTTTATTTTACATGTGACAAAAATAGTTAGCTCACGATATATTTCATGGTCCAGGCAGAATAATATTATATTTCATTAGAAAATTGAACATATTCAAAATACTATTAACCTCGACTGGAATTAGCGTGATATATATGTATCTACGAACATATTTCATTATATCAATAGAGAAGATCACAATACACTAGTAAAATGTTGCTTTTTGACTCATCTCGACATTGCATCTGGCAGGATCTGAGATCAACTAGAATGTTAACGACTTCTCACAACTGGCAACATTTGGAATCGATAATTCGCTAGATTTAGTAAACCTGGATTACTTTGAAGCAAAACTTTGATCCAGTGGCATGAATGAACATTGTAGTCCTAATACAAAAATATGAAAATTACAGTATACATGAAATTAGAATCTCTTTTACAAATTAAACAGAATTTAAGTCACGTTTCGCAAAAACAGAGCTGCCGAAAAGTATTTATGAAAATTCAAATCCGATCAAACTCTCGTCACTTTCAATTGCTGTATCAGTTTTGTTAGGTTGTAAATAGGCATGTGATCATCATTGTAGACGAGTGATAAAGGGGTAATCTCTATTGGAGAATTGTATCCTTTTTTGGTTTATTACATTCTCTGAAGATTTAAGATAGACCGAGTGGGAGGACAAAACTTAAAAATATACACCACTCGTTTCGATAAGCAGCCATTTCTCTGAAATAATACACTTATCTATTTCAATTAATTTAGGTATTAATGCCTCTATTCTGAATAATGGTTAGTTATAATTGTGACAGGCACACACATGATAATTGCCACTGATAAAGAGTATCAGAAGGTTTAAGTCTTCTCACAACAGCTGATTAGTATTCACATCTAATCACCAAAGGATGTCATGTCACAAGGGACGGAACATCAATTTAAACACATTAGCTTCACAATCACCAGATTGTCTTACACAGTAATTTGACTACAACACACATGGTTATTAATACAATACAAGGCTTGTTATTGTTTGTGGTATTACATGAATCTTCATAACATCTATGAAAACATACATTTGCTCTACTTCCGTCCAACACCTGAGGTCGACATCCGCTATGCATCTCTTCGCCATTACTGCACATTCTGATAATGAATGTTCCTGAAATATTTATATACAGATTATTGAAACCTAATTCACCAACGGATAAGATTACATTTTGTTTGCCTACTTGTTGGCTTAAATAGTTTATATAATGACAACCTACATAAAACCGCTTTTAACCTAACAATATAATCGGATCAAGATGATTCATATATCACAGTACTGACTCAACTAAATGTGCAAATGATTATATACATTTAGTCCGTGCTATTTTTATACGCCCACATGAAATGGGGCGTATATTGCCGTCATCCATATGCGTCCATCCGACGGTAGGTACGTCCGTTCGTCGGTCCGTCCACAATTGCTCGTAAACACTTTACAGGGCACAATTCTTGACTGATTTCGACAAAACTTGGTAAAGTTGTTTGTAATCACCCAAGGATGAACCGTATTGAAAATCAGAAAGATAGCTTGCCAGGCAAGGTAACATACACCCACTACCAGCTGTCGGAAATGATAACAAAGTGGTTTAATATGTGAAACCCATCATCCGATTGTTACTACATGCCAAATGAGATGCATTGAATTAATTCAAGGGCCATAACTCCAAAACCATTCATCCAATTATTACCATTTTTTAACTTGAGATCTCAATATATACATGCATACCAATGTTTATTGAGATCAGATAAAAACTGCACCCTGTATCATGACAACAAGCAAAATTTGAAGCGTTTTTGACCCAATTCTTATCTTATCAATATATACATACATATCAAATTTCATCAAGATCGGATAAAAACTGTAGTTTATATCGTGCCTACAAGCCAAATTTGACGCGTTTTTACCAAGTCAAGGGCAATAACTCTGAAACCATTCATCCGTTCATTACTATTTTCGACCTTGACCGAGATCTCATCAATACATACATGCATACCAAGTTTCATGAAGATAGGATAAAAACTGTTTCTATTGCGCCTTCAAGAAATGTGAACGGACGGACGGACAGGGGCGACGGCAATATACGTCCACATTTCCATCTGGGCGTATAAAATTCGAAAAATATTTAGTATGAGTCCTTGTTCTTGAATCGCTCGTAAACACTTTAGAAGGTTCCATTCTCGACCTATTTTGACGAAACTTGGTGTGAGTGTTTGTAATCACCCAAGGATGAACCCTATCGAAAATCAGAAAAATCTAAAAATAATTAGAATGAGTTCTTGCCCTTGTTCTTGAAAATGCTTTCAAGTTTTAGCACGTTTACACTCCAGAAGGCACAATTCTTGATGGATATTGAACCCTATCGAAAATCAGAAAAATCGAACAATATTTAGTATGAATTGTTACCCTTGTTCTTAAAAAAGCATTCAAGTCTGTAAATACTCTAGGAGGCCCAATTCTTGACAGATTCTATCAGCCAATCACGTGACTACGTGATTCAGTGAGATAGCAGCACGCGCCTCAATACATCAGTGCGGCGTTAGATCTCATACTGATAGGACGCACATAACTGAGCTCTCTATTCTATTGCAATTTCGGATTCCTTGGCGTTACGCTCTCCGAATTACAACAATTAATATTGTTATTGCATACTGTTCTAACTTAGGCCATATAATTCCTAACAGAATTCACATGGCTGACGCAAAATTAAAATCGGCTAAAGTCGATCAAGCCACTCCGAGAAACATCAGACAGACATCAGTACAGAAAGCGCATGATCGCCCTGCACACGAGCTGTCACCGAGTCCCTCGCCATCGGAAGCTTCGACAGCGAAAAAGGGATCCAAGTCGAGAAGCAAAGCTTCGGGAAAAAATCCAGAGAAGTCTGCTAAGCCGATTTCACCGGACAATGTCACGAACATTGATCAACCGTCAACATCCCAGGTTAAGGGCGATAACTCTCATCTCTCTACAGTCCTCCTTACGGAGATTAAAAGTCTATGCTCTTCGGTCGGAGACATGAAGAATTCCATAGTCAATTCGATCAGCAGTCTAGGAAATCAAATAGCTTCAAATCAACAGAGAAGTTACGAATCGGATTTTTCATACGATGAAGACGACGTCTCAGATTCAGTACATGCGGGTCAATTTAGAACGGTAAACAATACCGACGTAGACCCGGTTATCAAGCTGATAGACACAGTGCTAGATGAGAAAAGTCAAGGTTCCTCACTTGATCTTAACAATGCTCCTGTGGAGAAAATAGCCACATCTGACGAGACAGACGACGTTTTATCGTTTTTAAAAAGCAATTTACTTATGGAGGAGACCCTGGGTGATAACATAGATGAGAGATTAGCGGACATAGTCTCTGGCTCCTTCACTTTTAAAAGCAGTAAAAATGCTGCTGATCTTATAGGAGACAAAATCAAGAAGTATAAAAGACCCAAAAATTGTCCAGCCCTTCAAACCCAGGAAATAAACAAACTCATGTGGGATAGTATCCCAAGTGACTGTAGAACCAACGATTGTAAAATGCAACGAATTCAGACGGGATTGGTCAAAACCTCAACAGCCGTTGCAGAAACCATGAATCTGATTTTGAAATCAACAAATGACTTGCCAAAGAAACTCGTATCAACACTTATTGAAAAACTGGGTGACTCTATTGCCCTGAACGCTCATGCCTTTAGAGAGGCAATTCTCAGAAGGAAGTCATTCATTCAACCTCACTTAAAGGAGGAATTCAAACCTCTTTGTGCACCAAGCGCACCAGTGTCTTTCACTGAACTTTTGGGTGAAGACCTGGCCAAGAATATGAAGGATGTTTCAACAGCCAGCAAACTCACTCAGAGAGTTAGTAGAAAAAGCTCTCGCAACATAAGAAACCATCCATACAATGCACCATATGAACGACAAAGACCAAGAGGTCCATACTCTAACAACTACAACAATAACTTTTCTTCTAACAACAGACGGCCTCATGCTTACCAGTCTTTTTTGTCCAAGGGCCGTTACAACAACAGGCCTCCAGAAATGAATCTGAATCTCAAATCATAGAAAGAGAGATCGTCGAGTTAATTAACTACGGAGCTAAACTGTCACTTGCATATTCAGTCAGATAACTCAACCGCAGTAAGCTACATTAAAAACATGGGTGGCATCAAATGTTCAACTTGCAACCAAGTTTCGAAGGAGATTTGGGAGTGGTGCGATTCACATAATATTTGGATTACCATTTCTCACATAGCGGGAAAAATGAACTATGTAGCTGATGCAGCCTCGAGAGATTTAACTTCAGACCGAACTGAATGGTCTCTGAATAAGGATGTGTTTAATAATATCTTAAAGTATCTAAATTTCTCACCTACAATTGACTTGTTTGCTTCTAGACTTAACTTAAAGCTAGATAGGTACTCAGCTTGGAAACCTGACCCAAATGCCACCTTTATTGATGCCTTCACACATGACTGGCATAAAGAAATCGTATATTGCTTTCCTCCATTTTGCCTCTTGTCTAGATGTATACAAAAAATCAAATCTGATCAATGTAGAGGCATCATTGTAGCACCACTTTGGCCAACTCAAGTTTGGTTCTCTCAAATTCTTAATGTTTTATGTTGTAGGCCATTAATACTACCCAAGCAGAAGTCACTGGTAACATCTATAAACGGGGAAATACATCCATTTTGGCAGAAAATGAAGCTGACAGCCTTCATGGTATCCGGGATTCCCTCGGAAGTAGAGGAATTTCTGAAGAGGCAACCAAGATCATCCTTGATTCCTGGAAACTTGGAACAAAGAAGCAGTACTCTTGTTACTTGCGATCGTGGTCAAACTTTTGTAGTAAAGAACAGATTAATTTCTCTAGACCATCTCTAGCACAAATATTGGATTTTCTGTTAGATTTGTTTAATAACGGACTCAGTTACAGTGCTATAAATACTGCCCGTTCCGCTTTATCTACTTTCATTTTCATTGATGGACAGTGTATTGGATCTCACCCTATTGTTTGTAGATTTCTGAAAAGAATTTTTTATAATAGACCAGCGCTACCTAGGTATGATAGCGTCTGGGATGTACGTATTGTTTTAAACTATCTTCGGTCTTTATCTCCCGTGAGATCACTTTCTTTAAAGGACTTAACAATTAAACTCGTTCTTCTTATGCTAATAGTTTCTGCCCAGAGAGGGCAAACATTACATTTTCTGGATCTGAATTTGTTAGAAATTAACCAATCAAAAAGTGTTTATAAATTTCATATTTCGCAACATGTTAAACAATCTAGAGCTGGTAGGAAACCGGTAATTTTGAATTTCAAAGCTTATGCGCCAGATAGGCGTCTGTGTGTCGTCACTGTGTTACAGCAATATATTAAGAAAACTGAAAGCTTAAGAGAAAGTGAGAGTTGTTCTGCAAGAGACTATTGAATTGACTGTCCATGTTCCAAAATGTTTCCTTATATTTTTATAAGTTTAATCTGATCCGTACTTTTTGTAATAACCATGCTTCCGGTCATGGCCTCCAGTGTTGTCATGAATTCAAATAGTAAAAAGTAAATAGTAAAAAGTGAAAAGTAAATAGTAAAAAGTAAAAAGTATATAACTAAAAGTAAATGTAGTGAATTAGATGCTAAGTAATTTAAACTAAGAAAAGAACCAACTGTATTATCAATCTGTTTTATTAACTCTATAGAATTGGCCAATTACCAGGGGCTTAGACCGGACGGCTTCATGCACTCTCACGATCCACAAAAATTTGAATTCTGACAGAAGTCAAACCTGAACTTTGCTAACCACGGGATTGGAGAAATGCTGAAGAAATTTGGATGTTAATCTACTGTGTTTAATGACTGGTAAACTGTATTATATTTGCTAATCTGTATCCTGGTGAAATTTGAGACAATTCAGTCAGAACTGGCACATATTGTGTATTTGCTGTGAAACTGGTCACATTTACTGAACTTTTGTTTATCTGTCACATATCCTGTGAAATTTTGACTGATTGAATTTTTGAAAATTAAACATGCCACCAGAGGAACTGAAAACCTTGCTCTTAGAAGCCAAGAAGAAAAGAAGAAACTGTAAAGCTGCTATTACCAGACTAGGGAAAGTACTAGATAGACTGATTAATGAAAAAAGGGGAATAGAAGAAATCCAAGAAATAGTTTTGAAAATAGACACTGCATTTGATAATCTGGTGGAAACACATACTGCATATACTCAAATGATAGATGACGAGGATGAATTTGAAACTGCAGAAATTTGGTTGGATGATGTGCAAAACCAGGTCACAACATTAAAAATGTATTCCAAAGATTATGTTAAACACTTAGATGATGAGTTCCAAGCAAAAACCCAGAATGTTGAAATTCCCCAGAGCCCTGATCAAATAAACCTGTCACCCTCTTCATCCCCTAATGACAATTCATTACCTACTGATATCCAGAGTAATTCTGATGTAAATAATATTGTTGATCCTGACAACCACAGTATAGACGATAATCCGAGTAAATCTGCTGTCAATCCGAGTACTTCTGCTGATGATAATCCGAATCCAACTACTTCTGCTGTTGTTAATCCGAGAGATTCTGCTGCTGCTAATCTGAGAAATTCTATTGCTGTTAATCCGAGAAATTCTACTGCTGTTAATCCGAGAAATTCTACTGCTGTCAATCCGAATAATTTTGATGCTGATAATCTGAGTACCGAGAATATG